CCCCCCCCCTGCCTCCTTGACGGGCCTCAGTGAAGCGGCCTGCCGAAGATACGCCCCTCGAAGTTGGCGTAAAACGCGAAGCAGCAGCTCAACGAAGGCATTCGGGGGGATAGAATCGGCCTCGAGAGGCGATTCATCGGTATCGCCGCGGGGGGGTTGCTCAGAAAAGGATTCGGCGAAATGAAAAGTGGCATGGTGGGGGGAAATTCCCGCCTTTGCATTCACCCCCGGCGGCATCCCAACCGCGCGGCGAAGTCGCCGGGATTCGAGATGGGGCTGGAGGCCCGCCAAAAGCCGTAAAAACGACGCCACCACGCCGAGATTAAAGCGCAAGACCGAAGAGGCCGAAGGGGATTCACGCGTGGAGTTCAGCCCGAGGTCCTCAGCGACCGCGGCCTCCTCGACGGTTTCGTTGGGTTCGTCCCACTCAACGCGGGAATTATTCTCGGTCAATCGATTGGCGGAATTGTGATGAAGGCAAAAAGAACTCAACAGGCCGCCCAAATCCGCCAGGTTGGCTTTCTGCACACGCAAAGCCTCGCATTCGTTTCGCAAAATCGCTTCAAAAGTCTCGGGTTGGGACGAGGCTAAGTCGGAAAGAATAGCCCGCGATATCCCCAACCACGGTTTCAACCACCCTGCGCTCAGTAGTGTTGGTGGCGCATGGGCGCTACCACGAGTGGGGCATTCCGGAGGAAAAATATCATCCAAAATATCCTGCAAGGGTGATTCTTTGGAGGATTCCTGCATGGTGGCGAACTTATCATCCTCCGTTGGCCGTCTCCCTGGCATTGGATGCGCAGAAATCCCTTCCGCGACCTCAAAAGCTTCACCGGTGGTGTTTGGAATACAAGGAGTTGGAGCTTTCGCCCGCCGCGCCTTTTCCTTCTCGTCGTGAGAATAATTTTGGTCATTCGCGGCATTCCTCTCATCCGCGCATGAAGACATCGCCAGCGCAAGGGAATCTAATAAAACACGTTGGTCCGAGGTCGTAAAATGGGTGTACTGATTAATCAATTCCGTCATCAGGGAAAGAAAAGAAAGCGGCCCGAGGGCTTCGGACAAATCCCTAACCTGCAATGGCAAAAGCCGTATTAAAATACTCATTCCGGTATACTTTCTGGATACGTTCAATACTGGGCGAACAATCTGATCGTGGTTCTGCATCGCCTGTTTAGGGTCCTCCACGTGGTGGAAGCCCACGTCCGACATGCGCGACGCCATTTTTCGCTCCTTCAGGATGCTAGAATGCGCCTCATCGGGGCCATTTTCCCCTTTTGCCCCCCCGCGCCCTTCACTATGGTGTTGCTTTTTTTTGGCCTCTAGCTTGAGGCAGTATTCGTAACCGTAGCAGCCGTAGAGTCTCATCCCCATGTGGAGCAAACTCAGCCAGGCCTGGAGGGAAATCAACCGCAGCGGGGA